TGACTATCGAATTTGCAGTACTCACTTTCGTGTTTTGATTTGTCATTCATAGTTTTGTATACATGTGGGAAGAACTTTTTCAGAAAAGATTCCATGGAGGTGACTCCTCCTGAGATTCCAAGGTCATATCCAAAGAGAAGACCGCCCATGGCCGCAACCACGCAGGTGTAGATGACAAATCCGGTAACCCGTCCTTCATAGTTTCCTCCTCCACTCTGACTCACAAATGCTCCTCCTGCCATCTCTTTGGAATTATTATTCAATCAAGAAGGGAAAAGGAGTTAGTATTTCGTGGTTTTTGCTGGCTCGAGAATGAGGATCTTTATGGTTAGGGATCTCTAAGAGGAATTTCCCTAGAAAGATCCTTCATACCCCAGCCCACTTCAAAAATGAAATGTAACTCCTAACTTCTCTGCTCAATCCTATGGAAAATTTTGCTTTATATAAGTTTTGCAAAGGCCTCTGGGGACTTCAAAATTGAAATTTTCTAACAAATTTGCTAAAGAGTAGGATTAAGCTCATTTTTATTCGGATTAATTTATGACCATCGGTCCTAAAAATAGTGAAAAAGAACACGATTATTAAAGGATAAAAGTTTGTAGGAGAGAAGGTGCAAAAATTGTGGATTACAAAACATCTTAAAAATAGTGAAAACAACACGACTATTTAAGGATAAAAGTTTTCAAGGAAAGAAGGTGCAAAGTTTGTGGATTACAAAATTAATGGTAATGGTCATAAATTAAAACAAGTAAAAATGAGAATTACGAAATTTAAGAATTGCCAAAATTATGGATCATAAGTCCAAGAGAGCACGAGAGAAAGTGCAAAGTACAATTGAAAATTTAGCTTTAAAATTTTGGAAAACATCTGGAAATTTTGAGGGCCTAACAAAATATCTCGTTGGCTTGGCATATGCTCTATTCTACTCTATTTGGATTGAGAGGTATGTACCTTTTACCCCACTACTCTAAAATAATAATAGACGCTTTTTTATTTTATGTTTAGATTAAGAATTTATGAAAAAATAAAAATAAAGACTTTTTTATAATATGATGAATAATTAAGGTTAAGAGATAAAATAGAAAAAAATAGTTGTCCTTTTTAAAATATGAAAAAATATTTAATTCTAAGAGGGAGTAGCAATAAATAATATTATTTTCATTCTACTTTAGTTGTCTTGCAATCTAATTTGGGGTACTTAAATTTAGTTGTCCACTTTTCTATTTTAAAAGATTATTTGATGCATTTAATTAATTATATTTTAATAAAATAGTTACAACACATATTATAAGAAGCAAGCTTCTTTAAGTTTTGGTTAATTGGTAATAAGTATGAAATTTTATTGATTCATTATTGTATTCCTATTTTATTTTATTTTATTTTATTTTTTTGGTATTTTACGGTTAGAGTGAACTTAAACTAGTTTTCATGCATTTAAAAACTAATCTCTTCTTAAACGATCTTAAGGACGTACCCTTTATATTGACTTAATGCATTTAAAAAATTAATTTTCTTAAATGTTGGCCTCCAAACTGACTTGTTTAACAATTGATCCAATCCTTGAGGTTATTGCATTCCTAATTTATTGGAGAAAAAATAGTAGGCCTATTTAACTTGAACCAAGAAGTAACTTCTTTTTTAAAAAAAAGAAAAAAAGAAAAAAAGAAAAAAAGGAAAAAAGAAAAAAAGAAAGAAAAGCCATCGACTTCTTTCCTCACAAATTTTCAGTTCAAATATGAGAATAATGAAATTACTATGGGAGAAAATATTTTTTCAAAACAGATTTCTAATTTTTCAATAAATTATCATGCTACAAGTTTCCTTTTGTATTTATATAACTCTTAATGAATATCACTTAAAACATAAATTTCATATTATTATCTATTTGGACTACTAATTTAAAATTTTAACATTATTCTCATGCTTTTAATTTTTTTTTTTGGATCGTTTCTTATCATATTAGCAAATAATTTATTTATCGACATTTTTCAATGGATTTTAGTCCGAGATCCTTGCTTTCATTGATTATATTATTCACTACTACAAATGTAAAAATATTATCAATAATAAATTTATTTTGGTTCCATCTTTTTTTATGAAAACAATTATTCTTAAAGACTTCATCATATTTATAATTTCAACATTTTAATTGTTTTCAAGTATGAATATCTTTTGAGACTATTTCCTCAAGAACTACGCATGACTGTAAATTTAACATTCTACTTATCCTTTCTCTTCTTTTTTATTTTTTTGGATTTTTTATTTAAAAATTTTTAGAACCTATTTGTAATATCTCAAAATTTTTGAAATTTTAGACGTATATATATACACATGAATATATTAGTACAAGTGAATTTAAAATTTAAGTTAGGGATTGATATGAGAGGAATTATTATTGTTGGATCTAATGACTTAAAATTGAAATCTGGTTATAAAAATGGGCTGAGCTGATTCTCCTCTTTTTCTCCTTGCCCATTTCTAAGTGTTTCCCCTAGCCCTTAGTAGAAATTTTCCTCCCCAAGCCCTAGCTTGCGCTCAGAACCTTCTTGTCGAAGAAACAAGATCTTATTGCTACTACTTTCCCAAATTTTTCTGGTCCATGTTAGATTCTTGTGTAGTATAAGGGCCATTGCCATTTTTTAGCACTTTCCAGTAAAAAATCAGCCATTTTGCTCATCTTTTCTTCCTTGATTTGTATTGGATTAACTCTAATCCTTTAGGATTTTCAATTTAGGATTTTTTTATAGTTTTCCTCCTTGGTCTTACCTTGGTACCACCAAATCTGAACTCTTTTGCTAGAAATTTTGATAGCATGACCATGCTATAATGTTTTACCCATAACTTTTTTTGTTGTAGATATTGGATTGAGTTCATTCTTAATTCTATGGAAAGTTAAGAGATAGCCCTACAATTTATCTGTTGGACGTTTAACCCAGTTAAGCTGTTTTCAATGTGAAAACTCTACCGCAAATTTGGTTGCCATAGATGGATTGAACTAGCAACCCGACCTTTTGTCAGTATTTTGGCCATAACTTTCTCTATAAATCTCAAATTAAGATAATTCTTGATCCTATAGAATGCTAAGACAAGGGCTACAATTTATCTATTGATCACTCAACTCAGATTGGTCAATTTCTGAGCCCAAATTCTGTTGGAAGTTTCAGTTCAAAATTTGACTAGAATTGCTCTCAAAAGTACCTAGAAATTTGCTCTGTTTACTACTTTATTCCCACTGTACCTACTACCATACTGCATCATGATTTTACTAGATTTTTAACTGTTGTTTCCCTACTCTAAAACCCCTTGTTATTGCTTTATTTTGGCTGCCCTTTTTGCTGCTACTTTTCTGCGTAAATGCTGTTCATTTTTGCCCAGTTATAGCTTGTGTTCTACCATTTTTTTTGCTACTTTCTTTTGCCTAGAAATTCCTGTTGTTCAGTACTTATTCTATATATTAAAGTAATCTAGATAGGAGAGTTAAGTCTGTGTATCTCCTTGAATCTACTATAACAATAAAGGGGATCATTTTCTACTTTCATTTGTAAAATGCCTAATAATTATGTTCCCGGAAAAAATAAAACACATAAAAAACCACTTTATAAAAGAATATATATTTAGATTCTTTAAAGGATGTCCACATCTATTCTTTATGTTATTATTGCACCTAAATGGCCACAACGAACTTGTGGTTAGTAATCTTTGGTCCTATAATATATGTATATAATTCAAAAGAGAAAGTTAATATTTTTATGTGTTTTTTAGCAACATATAACAGACGTGATGTTGATATATTATGTATTATTGTCATCATAGTTTCAATATGATAATTATTATATTTTTGCATTTTTAAAATTTAATAAATTCTAATATAATCTACTAAAATACATATGGTCATATATATTAATAATTTTCCATTCTTCCAAGCAATAAAATTTTGACTCTTCTCAAGCCTTCTTTTTATTAGCAAAATTTAAATTCTTCTAGAGTTTTATAATCATAATATCAAATATTACATTAGTTTTAGGCTAACTATAATTAGGGAATGTATTTTATAACTTTTAATTTGGACATTATTGTAGTTTAATATACACTAGATGGTACCCGCGCCATTGCACGGGGATATACAATAAATTAATTTATATTTTTAATTTTTATAAATTTTATTTTTAATATAAGATATTTTTTATTTTTAAAAATTAAATATAAATTAAAAGTTAACGTAAAATATATTTGTGTAATTTTTTAATATATATTAATGTTTTTTAATAGAAAATTGTAAAAAAATTTCATTCAGACTTATACTTATTTTCACGCATTAACTACTTTCCTTCTTATATAAATAAAAGGATTTCTATAATATCAAAAATAAAGAAAAAATTTATAATATGTTTGAGTTAAGGGAAATGTAGATGTAACCCCCCGTATCGACATTTAATGAGAACTTGTGAGTAAACCTGATATATAATTATGAAAATCAACTACTATTAATAACTTAAACTTTTGAGAGAGGGATATTGGACAGCATTGAAAGCTTTGTCATTAGCGAAATCTATTTCTATTGGTAAATCCGAAAGTTTTTTCGTACAACAAATAAAAAACAAAACATTGGAATAATTTGAGAACTTTGCCTCAAAGAGTTGTTAGGCCAATGACAGATTTCAACCCAGGTCATTTTAGGAGGGGAGGGAAGATTTTTGGTCAATCAAAATGTAATGTTTTTTAAATATTGCAATTTGATTGGTCAAAAATTTTTCCCTTCCCCTAAACCCAAACATATTATTAATTAAACATTTAAAATGGAAATAAGAAATACTAATATCTTAAAAACGAAGAAATTATTACTTTTTTTCTTCTTCTTTTTGAGAAAAAATGATAAAGTTATTTTAGTACAAAAAAAGAGAGTTCATTGGGGTTGTTTTAGAAAGTGAACTTCTAGTACATAAGCAAGATAAAATGCAATCGCAAGAAATGAACATTTATTTTTTAAAAAAAAGTTTAAAAAGGTGATATTCCTATCTTAAGAAGTTGGTCAGTACACATATTGCTATCACTATTGACATGTTGCAATGTTGAGTTAGAACAAAATTCATCATGAGTTCTCTATAATTCAAAACATTAGAGATATTGACAAACAATTATTAAATAGTATAAAAAGAGCCAAATCTAATGTTAATTTTAGAAAATCCCTTGATAACAATAAAGTTAGAGGTTATCTTTTATATTTTAAAGTTCAACACTTACTCTATTAGTAATGCCTATATTCCTGACAAACTCCATAACCTAATTGTCATTATGATCTTTGAAAATCCCTCCTCTGCCAATAGGTTTGAGAAAGGCAGCTCTCTTAGTATTACTATTTAATAAAATATAGTGGAGGTTTATACTAGTAAAATATACCAAGTTATATATTAGATAAATCAGACTAAATAAGAAAAAATGACTAAATTTTAATAGTTTTATAAATAATAAGAGAAAATCATTTAGAATCTTAAAATAAGAATTCTTATAAAACTTGTCATTATTTTTTATTCTTACTAAATTTCCCAAATAATGAATGAAAACAAAGCAATCCAAGGAATTTTGACATAAGAGAATCATCCATGCACTTACCTCTTGTTTGGTTTAAGGGAAACAAAGTCCCCTCCACTTGTTTGGTTAGATGAAATTGCAAAATAATAATAATAATAAAGAAGGAAGGAAAAACCCCACTTCCCCTCATTTCCCCTCCAATTTTTTATCATCCAAATAGAGAAGTTTTCTTCCCTTCCTCTCCCTTACACCAAAAAAGACATTAGTGTTAACTCTTAATCAACAAATAAAAGAAACAATAGCATTCTCAGTATTTACAACAAGGATGAT